CCTGCGGGTCGCGGCCGTGATGCGGTGGGAGCGGGGTCCGGTGCCTCTCCCGGCGCGAAGGATGCGGCTGGGTCTGGAAGAACTCGGTGCTGGTTGTCCAAGCGCGGATTTGAGCCAGTTCCCCTCTGCCCCGGCTGGGGCTTGCTGCCAGAACCTAAACCCAGGAAAGGAATTTCCTATTTCTTCAGCAGAAAAAGGAGATTCCCCTTTTCACTTGGATAGGAAATACTAGGATTTTTTTTTTCCCCTTCTTCTTCATGTGGTTGACCCAGGAAGTCATCTTGTCACCAGCATTCTGGGTTTTTCTTTTTCCTTTGCTCTAGAGGTGCAGGGAGGAGGGTGTTGCTTTGCTCTGGATCCTGTGGGTAAGCGTTGAAGGCAGTGACAGCAGCTGCTGCTGGCTCTGGAGCTCTGGTTGCTATGAGAGAAGCTTCAGTAGACTTGGCTGCTATCTCCAGGGAAGGACAGCAGAGCAGCCTCCATTAGTGTGGTGGTGGGGAGATGGCTGGCTCACGTTCAGCAAAGGGCTCCGCTTTTCGGGCTGTTTCCACAGGTCTGGAGCCGAAGCAGGGGTATGTTTTGGTCCTGTGAGACAAAAACCTACAAGGTGGGTTTTGTCGCTGTTGTTGAGTTAATGGAATTGCGTTAAAGTGTGGGCTGGAAACCCCGAGTTACCCTTTCCAGATATTTTGGTCTGTGTGAAAAGTAGGACAGCAAGAATTGATATGGTCGTCCTGTTACTGAAGGCTGCAGTCGTGTCTCTTTTGAACTCCAGTCTCCTTTCCAGCCAGTAACAGAGCCAGATGCTTTTCTTATTGTTTGTATGTCTCCTTCCTCCCCTTCCACCGCCTGGGCCCCACTTGCCTTATTGACTGGAATTTCTGCTGTGTGCAGTGGGTGTGTGCAGCAGACACCAGCCTGCTAGTGCTGAGAAGGGATTTTCCATTCACAGACCAGGGAACAGTCAAAATAAAGGCCCGGCTCAACTTTAGGACTGCAAACAGAAAGTGGGGAGAGGAGTTTCCCTCTGCTGCAGAGTAAAATTTATCCTCTGCGCTTCTTGGGCAGCTGTATGTCAGAGAGTGTAGAA